AACAAGAGAGTGAGGGAGAGAGAGAGCGCGCACTTGTTATTTTGGACTTCCCAGTTACGTGACCCAGTGCATCCTTTTTCTGTGCTTAACTAGTAAAACACTTGAGGAGCTAGTGATAGTAATAAAACAAAGCTGGTCACTACAATGTCAGGGTGGGCTTAGCTAACGTGTTAGCTACCATAAGCTGGTAGGTCTCTGGGGGCTAGAGGCTAGCGCAAATGACAAGATTGCTATAATTTTTAAAATTATAAAATAGTAGCTTAAGACATATATAAAAAATATAACCCACCCCCTGATTTGGCAGCTAAAGAAACCCAAGCATACAGAGCTGAAGTAACTTGCCTAAAAATGTAACAGCAACTAAAGTAGTAAATGCAAGGCGAAACTTTGCCCATGTTCTTTTCCACTTTAACAGATTTTCCAATTTTGTGTTCATTTTTTCCTTCACAGAGAAAGCGAGTAGGATATGGCATTATGTACTGGGGAGCGGTTTAAATTGGTGAGAGAACATTGGGCTTTGTCTCGGAAGTCAGAGTTTGAATCCCAGGTCTGTCATTTCCTTAGGCAAGATACTTAACCTCACTGAACCCATGTTCTTTTACACATAAAATGAGTCTAATAACATATAACCCACATATTTCAAATGTTGATTTCTCTAAAAGCACTCGGCAAACTCTGCAATACTGTTTAAGACACATTTTAAAATTTATCTTCTGTCGTCATAAATATGCTTTATTTTCCTATTTTGTAAAATGAAGATTTTATAACTCATTTCAAGGACAGTTACCCTTTTTTCCATATAGGGTAATGACCTTATATTTTGTAGTAACTGTTTCATCTAACTCTCACACTGGGAACAGCAACCTAATAGCCATCGGGCATGTTTAATTCTAGATGTGCAATTCATGATGGTAGTATAAACACATGCGATAATTGATAGGACCTATCCAATTTTTCTGATCTATATTCCTGAGGGCAGGGTCAGTTGACAGAATTCTGTTTTCTCAGCAACCTAGCACACAGAATTTAAAAAAAAAATCATTTGTTATTGAATATTTTCCTACCACAAAATCAGCAAGATAACTCTCCTTAAAAGATTATCAGTGGGAGGACGGATGCAAACTGCCAACCTAAATCCCCTAGAAGTACTTTATCCCTTTAGCTCAAATGATATAATTAAAGAATAATTTCATGCTATATGAATGAGGGGAAGTAAATTTTTTTTTTCATTTCCAAAAATCAGCTGATTCCTCTTCAAACAACATTAACGTTGACCTTGTGACTTGCTTTGATCGCTAAAACTTGAGCAGAGGTGATCTATTCCACCTACGGTGGAAACTTTAAGAACCTGCAGGTGATTCTGCCCTCTCTTTCCTCTGCCACAATCCTAACAACATCCCAGGCTGAATCCCAGAGCAAAGCACTAAGCTAACACTCAATGGAGACATAATATAAGTGAGAAGTACACTTTCACTGAGGTGAGCTTCTGTGTTTTGGGGTCTTATGGCACTGAGTCATAACCTGCCCTAAGAGAACTGGCCCAGTGTGTCAAGTGCAGTGAGCTTCCCTGCATTGCTCTATTTCCTTCTTAGTGTGGATGGAGAGAATGAGAAAGAAACTGAGCCAAGGGGAAAGTAAAGAAATATGCATTAAGGAAACCACCATTCTCAGTAATTTACTATTGGTCCTTTTCTCTTCAGTTTTTTTTTTTATTATTATTTTTTAAAGAGTTATTTATTTAGTTCTGTGCTTACAAAACTGGGTACAGGCCACAGGCAGCAAGAGGCTTCACGAGAGACAGAGTGGGGAGCAGAACAGGCAGATAGATGAAGTACACTGCTGAGGGGAGCAGAAGGCGGGTTAGGAGAGGTCTGCCATGCCATGTGGTCACCTCCTGGACAGGCGGGGATCGAACTCATGTGGAAGTGGCTTTAGCTTCTTAGTGCTGTACTTTAACCTGCTGTGCCACCAGGGAAGGCCCCGTTTATTTTTTTTAAAAAGAGATTAATTCAAAGATTTTTTAATGATGAAACTAAATATTTAACATGTGCCATAGAATAAGGCTGCTAAATTGAGAGCTCTAATACCATTTCACACTCATTCTTAAAGGTGGAAAAGTAAAACACGGTAGCATAGCAGTACTGTTGGCTTTGCCTGTATTGTACAAGAAAGAGTGACTGAAATCGGCCTTTTGAATCCCCCCACCATAAATTCCTTCCCTGAGCTTCTTTCCCTACTCTTTCCTCTTTTATTTCTAAAATGTCATTTGGCCATCAAGAATTTACTCCAAGTTTCACTCTTCAAAGTGCATGCAGATGGAAAGCACAACAGATTTATAAGACAATTTGAAAAGTTATCAATTTCTGATAAAATGTAGATCAATGCACATTTGATCACACATACACAGCTGCATAGTCTTATTAAAAAGCAGCCTCGCCCTCCTCGTAGAAGAAAATTGATTTAAAACATGAAGTACAAAGAGGCCTCACATGTCCTTTAAATCGTATATCTACAAGAAATCTTCAAATTAAAATAATGAGGAGTATGTGAAACAATTTCCAATATTCACTGCTTAATCTCTGTCCAGCAGCACGTTATCAGCATACCACACACTATATCTGGCTTTTATAATTTAGGCACAGCCCTTTCTAATTTGTTTATAGATTTTACCAAGAAAAAAAAAACCTGTTATCATTAAAGATAAAAAAGTATCTACCTTTTGAGCTCCTTTGTTGTATTTATATCTTAAGAAATTGTGTCTTTATTTGCGAATTAAAAATGAGTTGTCAGAGTCCCTTAATAATTAATGTTGAAATGAACAATTGTTTCAAGTACAACACATTCCATTTAATGTTAAACAGCGTTATATTTACTGTAATTCCACCTTTCATCCTAATGTCAACCTTTAAATCTTTAATGCTTTAATCACACATTCTTTTTCTGATATCCCCTGTGATTCCTCAAACCAATGCCCACTCCTTTGTGAAAAGGTGGGCATTTTATGCTGCAAGGGTTAGTCAGCAGCAATTGTTAATTATTAAGGAAAACAAAATGCAGCTGCTGGAAAATTGTGTTTGTTCCCAGCAGGGCATGTTACCTTTAATCTCTACTGACACTGAGACAAGGGAAGTCATAAAAGGGAGATAATGCATTTCAAGAACATGGCCCCAAAGAAAATTAAAGAATTTCCTATAAAATTAATGAGCCTAATTATCAGATTATGTCTACATTTGCCTCTCAGTAAGTTATCCTCAGTAAGAGGGCTGGGAAGAGGGGAAAAGATGGGGTTTGGTCCCAGGGAGCAGCTTAGCTGCTGGTTGGGTGGAGCCAAGATAGAGAGTCTGTACTGCAAGCTTCTCTTTCTCCTGGAATCTGATGAGAGGATGAAGGGCAAGTATCTGCTAAGAAGGTGCTGTCAGGAAGGTAACATACAAGGTGAGGTATATTTTAGTTCAGTCCCTTGCCTGGTTTAGGGATGTGAGCTGGGAGTTCACCTAGCTGAGTCTTAATAATCCTCACCTGTAACAGGTTTTTTCAAGGATTAAAGATACTTCAATCACAGCTGTTAGTAACAATTCTCAGAGCCCAAAAAAAATCATTCACCATAGTGTTCCAAATCGTTAATTGTAACAGCAATTCTGAGAACTAGGTATTATTATTTCCACTCTTATTATCTCCCGATTCAAAATACGAGCATGCAGAGGACACAAAGTATGAACGTGAGTCTCCCTGACTACAAAGGACCAAACTAAAAATTATGCCTTAGAGGTATAAAATGAATCATTTCCTTCCATTAAAAAAAGATGGATAAGAGGTAAATATTTATTCTCCTTCAACTAGTAAATTCATCTCTAACTTTGGGTTTATAGAAGCTCAAGTGGGAAAATTAGTGTATGGAAATTCCAGGAGGGAAAACTTTATTGAAGTCTGACTTTCTGTATTCTGAAATGCTTATTTTGTAGTGCTCAAAATCTGCAGACTCTCATTCAGCAATCAAAAGCCACCATTTTCACCCAAAAACAGAACTAGAGAAGTAAAACTACTATAAAACAAGTTCGACAAAACCTAAAAATGCTTCAAAAAGGTTTTAGAGTTAACTGAGCTTGCACAAAGCTTCTAGGAAAAGAGGGACTCTTAATTTGCACAGACTTCTCGAGCCCCCAGGACTTGATAAAAATTCCCCAAATAGTCCTAAGTGAAAAATTCCTAACCACTACTGGTTCATAAACCACTTTGAATCCTTGTTGAGTCCAATGGATATTCTACTGACCCACACAGGACAGCACACATAGGATCAAGAGACCTATATGGATTTTGCCTTTGACCCAACAAATTTCCCAACATCTAAGCGAAACTCTTTGAAATCTGAATCCCAGACAGCAAGAAGCAAGGACTTTTACACTCAGCCCATAAACTTCCCTGAGGATTAGAGTTGGCCCCAGTGTGCCTGGTGGCCCACAGTCAGCAGCTGAGCCATCACTTGGAAGCCAAACGCCAAGAACGCTTTGAGCATTTGGAACTGGAAAATCACCAACCACAGCGGCGAAGAGCTGGCTTCTGTAAGCCTGAACCTGTCCTTACAGGCCTCCACCTATGCTGGTCAGATGAATTACTACTAATAAAATATATATACTACCTAAAATATACTTCATGATGAATTCTCACATGAGATTAAGTATATATTTATAAATTATAAGGCATTTATGTAATTTATATTTATAAGTTATAAGGCATTCTATGCATGGCATAGTTAAAATTTTTTGAAACTTTTCTTTCTAGAGAATGATAAAGACAAGGAAATGAACATTTCCCATGATTTCAGAGCAGTCCTGTATAGAAATTCTGTTTGACAATTAAGGAAAAATACCTCATTTTTTGTTTAAAAGTTTCTCCTCAGCATCCTAAAAACATTTACCACACTTCTCTGTGATGCAAAGATTAAATAAGTTGCTGAGGTATAAAGCTTGCACAGAATATTATTTAATGAAGATCCACCTTACCGACTAGATGGATGATGTGACATTAAGGGAAAAGCTGCATCTGTAGTTTCTCAGCGATAGAATATTCCAGGAAGATCAAAACCTGTACAAATAACAGGACAAAGCTTAGTTGTTAAAATCATGATCTCAAGTTTCAGACCTGCCTGAGTTCAACTCCTATTTCTACCACTTTATGAATAGTGTAACCTTGGAAAATTGACTTAAGGTCTCAGAGCTCCATTTGTTTCATGAATAAAAAGGAAACTTATTTCTCCTGAGGCTGTTGTGTAGATTAAAAGAGATGCAGGTTAAGTGCTTAGCATAGACCTGATATATTGCAACTCATCTGTGTATGGTATCACTTAGCATGTATGTATTACATACCTCCTACAAATGAATCCCTTAATTATTAGTGGAAAACTGAAATTCCCAGAGGGATGAAATAACCCAGCAAAGGCTAAATGAATTAATCAGGCTATTCATGCCAACAGCCTCTGTGGCTCTCACCTGTGGCCTTGATCATGCTGATGCACAAGGTGGTTGAGACCGTGGGCTCGGGACATGCCTGCCTGATTGTGGGTGTCTGGGGCATGGGTGTGTGTGCATGTGTAAGTGTGCACCCATGTCTAGGGGCTGGCTCAAAGAAGTGTATCGGCAGTAGTGGCACGCCAAGTGGTGTGACTGCAGAAGAGGCCAGACCACAGATGACTTGAGAGAGAATGAGAGAGAGAGTGATATAGAGACAGAGACAGAGAGAGATGGATAGAGAAAAAAAAGAGAGAGAGGAGAGAGGCAAAGAAAGGAGAGAGAGACAGAGAAGAGAGAGAGAGAGAGAGAGAGAGAGAGAGAGAGAGAGGAGAGAGAGGCCCATTCCTGCCCTCTTGCCCTCTTGCATGCCTCCTGGTCACCTGGTCCTCCTGGGTCCCTGCCTACCCTGTACCTGGTTGTCCCACGACACTCAGGGTGACAGAGCACCCTGCCTTTCTTGAGCCATACCACCTTATTGCTTGAAATGTATATTTTGTTCTCTCTACTTCCATTCATGCCACACATTTTTCCTTTTCTCCAAACAGAGCTGGAAGCGTTCAGCCCAGCATTAGGAAATAAAGCCAAGTGTCTGCCTGTATGACTTCAGCATTCATGAGACACAGCAGAAAGCCTCAGTGATTACCTTACACTGGACCAGGAAAGCCACTGAGAGATCATTCCTTTGCTGGGGTTGGTAAAGAACTACAGGGAGTTTGACACAAGAAGCGAAGTCTTATTTGCATTGGTGGTTGCAGGTGAAGCTGTAAGATAATCAGAGGGCAAACTAGGTAGGCGTAATTGACCCAAAGAACCTGGATTTCACCCCGGAGGAAATAAAGAATTAGTGATGGGGAAACAGAGAAGATGTTTTCCAAGGAGAAGGCTGGAATTACAGAGGGTGGGGAGGTCAGGTCCTGAGTAATACACATAGAAGAGTGGATATGCGGAAAAAGAATGACAACAGCTTGGAACACACTGAGATGGATATTTGTAAGAATCTTGAGGACACATGCTCTTGTGTGAAGGCTCTAGGGGGTGAACTCTTTCTTGCCTTCTCACTTCCAGCAGTTGCTAGAGGTCCATGGGTTTCCCCAGATGTGGATGGATCATGCCAATCTCTGCTTCCATTGTGACATATCATTTTCTTCTTCTATTTCTTTGCAACCAAATTTCCCTTGTCTCACAAGTTTCCTATCACTGAAGTAGGGTCCTAATCCATGACGACGTTATTTAGAGCTGCAAAGACCGCATTTTCAAATAAAGTCACATTCAAAGCTTGTGCGGGCATGAATTTTGGAGGGACACCATTCAACCAGTACAACCTCTGCATCCAGTTATGCAGGTGTTGTCAGTGGTTGATGGGCACTGAAGTTCCAAGGAAACCACACAACCACCTGTGCAAAATTATCACTGACAGGCCATGAGAAGAATGAGGAAGATAAGAGTCTGCCTAGTGATGCAAGATCTCTGTCTTTCTTTCCGTCATCTTCTAGGCCAGGCTCCACAGAGTTTAAAGAAAGAGATTTCCCAGGGGTCTACATGTACCTTTGGAGTAGGATAGGAAAAGCAGCAGACATGACTGACGTCACTTCTCATTGCAGTGGTTTAGGGGAGAGTTTAGAATGAAATACAGGAGTAAGGTTATAAACTACATTGGATGGAATTTTAGTAACCATGGCTGAAAAGTTATGGGATCTTCCCAGATGTCATGAAGGGAGAAACAGCATAATGACGTGGAAGACAATTTCTGAAAAATTAAATTGACACCAACATCCCAAAGTATAGCGGGGGGGCACTTCTGTTTACAGGCATTTGGAAGAAATCTAGTAGGCCAAGATGTAACAAGGTAGGTATGGGCAAAAGTCTTCACTGAACTCCAGGGAAAGAGAACGAAATTACACAGTGATCTAGTTTGTCCAGTCAATTAGGCAGGACCACACTTCAATGTAGCCACAGAGGGAATTCCACTTCAAATGAAAATAAGGAAAGTTCGTATATTTGGGAAGCCAAAGTAAGCCCTGGAGGTTAACATTACTTTAACTTCCTTCGTTATATCTGCCTTTTCCTTGTGCTTTTGCCATCTGCAAAGAATTTAAGTTTTATACATATTATATTCCTCCTCAAAGTACTCCTTTTCTTCAATTCAGCTATGATAGTTTCTGGCAGGGAACCTTCATCCTTTTCAATTACGGTGACACCCTTCAAATTCCCCAGCCCACTCCCGCCAATCAGCAACCATAATATACAGAACAGGGAAATAAGAGTAAAACGAGGAAAGCGAAAAAGAAAACTGGAGGTGATCAAAATGAGGGAGCTTTGATTAGCCAGGTTTCAAGCTACTCTGGTTTTCTGAGTAGATATTCCAAGTACACTACTTGAACCAGGGTTCACCAGGAGCTACATATTTCAAAGTCTGCTTTTCCAGAATTAACAAGTCAGCTGGAATTACTTATTACATTCCAGTTCAGTAGGAATCCACAAGCTGCAGAAAAATACATTAAAGAATATTTAGTAAGATGGTAAATAGTCCCAAATATATGGGAAAGAATAAGACTGTGTATTGCTCATTACACACATGACTATTTTGTGTATGTAATGGATGTGTTGTTAAGGCACACTGGGTTGTTTGAAGTTTACAAGTTTGTTATAGATTGATTTATTCATGAAATGCTTTGTTTCTATGACAACTTTATTGGTTTGCCTGTGGTCTAAATACATATAGACATGGCAGGAATTCCACGGTACAAAACAAATTACACACTCCCCCCTGAATCACTTGCTTCCTTTAGGGAGTGTAGCAAAAGGATTTCTAACCAGAGTTGACATCACCTTTGCAGGGCCTGCTTTACATAGATCATATAATAATAAAAGGGCGAAAGACTTTTTAAAAAGAGCAACTTAAAAGTCTCCCATGGCCTTCAACTCCGTAATATAAGGAAAGATGGAAATGAACAATGAAATGCCCAACCTAAGATAAGAGAAATACAATCTACCCACAATGCATGAGGTTTTTAAGAGAAAACACTGATCAAAGACTCGTATTTCCTACTATAAATAATATCCCTTCAAGGATACCATTAATATTCACAATAGTTGTGTAACTACAAAAGAAACTGAGAATTGTTGTCTAGAGAAAATAATAATGGGTTTTGGGAAGATAAAAGGAAAAGGCAGAAGAGAGGTAAAAGAAAGGGAGAACGATAGATATTTACTGTGGACCAAGGATAATCAAGAAGGGAATGGCTCTTAGTTATCCTGTGAAACTTAAGTCAGGGAAATCATGCCTGAGGAGACGCAGCCCTTGTGAAAGCTGGAAAGAAGAGAGCAGAATAGAAATAATGTTCATCACATCCTCCTGAAATGCATACACATATGCACATGGGAGGAAAAATTAAAATGAGGAAGATTATTTAAAATAAAATTACTGCTCCTCACAAATTCCATGTTAAATAATGAAAGTAGTCATATATAGTGAAATAGTGTGAATTTAGATGAAAAGTAGACATAAAGCAAGATATCTTTTCACAGCATCATTATTTCATGTTTTTGTAAAAGCCACTTCCAATTTTCTGCTCTTAACTTTCACAGATTTCTGTGTGCGTGTGTGTGTGGTGACAAATATAAAAATTGATTTTGGGGCCTTCCCTGGTGGCACAGTGGGTTAAAGTGCAGCATGTAAAGCTGGCCAGGGCCACTTCAGTGTGAGTTCGAGCCCCAGCCCCTGAGGTGACCCACATGGCACAGCAAAACTCTCCTGTCTCACCCGCTGTTCCCCTCAGCAGTGTACTTCGTCCATCTGCCTGTTCTGCTCCCCACTCTGGCTAGGGTGAAGCCTCTCATCGTCCCTGCACCTCTGGCCCATACCCCAGTTCTGTATGCACAAATAAGTAAATCTTTTTAAAAACTGATTTTGAAGTACATGACTACCCATACAACCTTAGGGGGAATCAGTTATGTTCCATTTCCCTGCTAAGGGGCTGGATTACAAAATTTTGTGTCCACCATGTGACGCTGCCATCATTGCCACTACAGTTTATGTCAGAGATGAATCTTCTACCAAGGGGAAACAATTCACTCATGTGCCAGCAACTAAATAGTAGCTTTCAATAAATTGCACATTCAGAAAACTGTGGGGGTGGGAGACAAGGCAAGATGATAGGCTGTGTCAAGTGAGATTTGGGGCAACCATTATCAGCACTGGAGCTCCGCTGCCAGTCGCTGGAGAGAAGTCCCTCCAATAGAGCAGGTGCATCCAGAGAACATAGACCACACAGCCACTCAGTGGACAAGGGGAAGTGGAGAGAGGATAGATACCTCAGTCCGTTATAACTCTAGTTTCCAAAAGGCTCGGTCACAACTTATTTTTCTGGGTACACTATGCCTTTTCAATAAATTGCTTACTTGAGCTAACCTGAGGGACTTTCTTTTCCCTAAAGATTAAAGACCTTGATTAAACTGCATAATTTTATTGTATTATTCCTTAATATGGTTGTTACCTTTTCACTTGAAACATGTTACTTGTAGAAAGTTTTATCAACCATTGATATGACATAAAAATTTAGTAACTAACAAGGA